CAAGACTCAGGCAACAGGACATACAACGTCGAGAAAGGCGCCAAACCATACCCTGTATTCCGTAAGGACGCAGAAATCACCGCACCAGCCTCGGTCAACAAGGACGCAAACGGGTGGCGACGCATGGGTTCCAATCAAGACAAATAGCATGACACCTGCACAAATCATCCAGCCAATGCTTCAAGGCCATCACACCACGTTCATTCATCGCAAGAATACCGGCTGTGTTTCCATCTTATTTCACGCTCAAAGCATGCTTATGTTGTCCAGAGCGCAACAGCCAGCCTCGCCCTCCAGAGCTGTACTTGATACCCCGGATTGCTGTCCTCTCCTGTGAAGCTATAGTGCGTTAACGAAAACTTCCTCGGACTTGGAATCATCTTCTCTTTTTGACAGTGTTCAGTTCTAAGCCGTGCATGTTTAGTTTTCATTTATGTTCATCTGACGCGACTTCTTTCGGGGGGAGGGGTAATTCTGTAACGTAAGAAGGTAGCGATGGTTAGGAGTTAGTAGTAGAGGCAGAGGAGGAAGAAGTGCAGAATGGAATAAACATGGCGTATGAGCCAGGCCACGTCGCCCATTCATCATAGCGTCATATATATATATATATATACACGACAAAGACATTTGCCTCTGGAGTGCTGCAGTTACTTGCCCTCAGGTGCCCATGCGAATATGGCGGGCATTAACTCTCACAACAGCCTACCTTCAGAAAGAAGGTTTCACTATATCAACAGTGAAGTGCGCATTGATTGCGTTCACACGCAAACCAGTGACGCCATACCTTGTTTACATCATTGTGCAGAGTGTAAAATATGCACGGATGTATCGTTTACTGGGCATAATAATCGAGAAAAGCCTTTTGTGGAGCCCGCATTGCGCACACTTGAAGAAGAGATTGCTATCTATGGTGCATACATTGAAACTCATGTGCGGGAAGCATGGGTAACTTCTGTGGCCTTCATGCTACAGTTGTACAGGGCCCTAGTTCTGGGTCTGTTGCGCTACAGCTTGCGGGCACTGAAGAACGCTTGCAAATCCAATATTCATTCCTTGGAGACTTTGCAGGGTCAGACGCTGCGTATCTGTCTAGGGCTACCCCGATGCGCTTCTACCTATGCCACAATCGTGCTCGTCAAGGACCATCCGGTCAGGACATATACCAATGTTGACTGCCTCAGAGCGCACATTCGACATGCCAGCCGTGTCCGCGACCACCACTTGGCCTTTGTACCCTCAGAAAGACCATGTGCTACGTTTTCACACGTCATAGCCAAGCACCCGAACAGCATTCCGTCAGGATATACGCCAGCTACAAGAATTGCATGTCCTTTTCGGTGTGTCGACTAGCCCCAGCTACGCCCAGAAATTTCGGGTATCAGAAAAAAAGCAACCATTCCAAAGTAGCATTGAAGCAAGCAACACTGCTATTATTACACGAGCTGTACTTGGACCAAATGCAAATATACACTGGTGGGTCAATCTCATCCAGCAGCTCATCAGGAGTCGCTGTTTTTCCGGCTGCAGCAATGACAATAAAATTGAAGTAGTCGCACACGACTATGTCTATGGCATCAGAGCTTGCTGCCATAAGAGCCGCTGTACAGTATCTCGTTCAAGAACATTCAGGAAAGTGCGTCATATCCTGCAGTTCAAAGAGAGCACTTCAAAGTTTGCAGTTTGACATGCGTAAGAGGAATCGTGAGCAATTGATACAAGAAATAAGACATTGCCACCGTCAAGCTCTAGCACGAGGGCATGATGTATATCAGTGGCGCCCTGGACATATCGCTATTACTGGAATTCAATTAGCCAATGATGCAGCCCACTTAGCCTATGAAAAAACGCGTGAGGTACCGATCCTTCAATCAAGGATTCATGCGACAAGACAACTTTACTTGGTGGCTCGAGACCGTACACGCACGTTCTGGTCGTCTACCAGCTTCCTAAGGTGTCACTTATATGATCTGAATCGTTCGTGCAAGCTACAGCTACCATCGCAACTTTGCTGCTCCGATACGGCACTGTTATGCCGCCTTTGGTTGGGTGTTACATTCCCAAAGGCGTACTCCTTTCGCATCGGTATGGCAGACGCCTACACATGCGACAGCCAAGGAGCTGTAGAGACCATCGAACTCGTCCTGTGCCGCTGCGCTTGCTACGGCACGCAGCAATGCCAGCTCCGGATGGTATTGTACCAACGGGACTCTAGACCATTCTCAGCGCAAAATAATATGGGACCTTTGGCGTGTGCGTCAATTGCACAGAAAGCGACTAAAGTGCTACTACAGTACTTCAACACAACCAACCAACACAAAAAACAGCCTGTCAACTGCGTGTGCTCCCCGAGGGTGCTCGCGATTGTGTGTATTTTTTAACTTTTTCCTATTTCTTGTCTTCCTATCAATACTTTCCCATTGCAGAGTAGAGAACCGTACGTTCGTCTGGTTTACCTCCCTGCCTTTCGTTGCACCTGTATTTCTGTCTGTATTGAACATACGCCTCCAAGAATATAAAGAAAATTTGTTATGTTGCAATTTTCCTAATGGAATGCTGCACTTTGCATGAATATTCGAGTACTGAATCCATACTCCACATAAGGTGTATTTTAAACGAAAAAATTTTAGACCTTTCAAGTTGCTAATTCTTTCGAGAAAGAATCGCAAGTTCCACAAAAATCATCGTTTTGACAATACTGAGACACAATTTGCACCCTGTGGTGGTCTAATTAAACGTCACCTTTACACTTAAATAGAAACCAATCAAATCATTCTTTTCATAAGGCGAGTCTTTTTATTACATTTTTTGTTTTAATGAAGAAAAAAAACTTCCAACTTTCATGCGCCTATCTTCCTATTTGGTCACTCCACAGCTGCCGCCTTAAAATTCCGCATTGCCATCAATGCGAAAGTTCAAAAATAATTTTTCCCTAAAACTATGTAATGATAAAGTTTGCCATATAAAAAGAATTGCTCATTTGCTTTCGATTTAAGTATAAAAGTGATTTTCAGTAGGACCGCCACATGGTGGAATCGCGTCTCAATATCTACCAAAATGTGAAACTAGTGAATTTTCTTCGTAAACGTTGGCCGCTTGAAAGGTGCAAAGAATTTTTTCCGTCAAAGCATACCTTCCATGGAGTAAGTAATTTTTACTAAAATATTCGTACAATGAGGACTATTGCAATAGAAAAAATGCAAACATAACACATTTTGGCTAACTTCTTGGAGGCCTATATGTTAGTAAAATTGCAAAAATATTACTAAGCTTAAAGACCTTACACAAAAACATTTACTTAACGTGTAGATCAAGTTTGGTTTAGCAAAACGGAGCAGTACTTTCAAAATAGAATTGTCCACAAACAACACCCAAACGACATTCCGGGAAATTCAGAACGCAGCCACGTGACGCCAAAAAATTTTATCCTTCACTTTCATTTTCACTTTCACTTTTATTCCTTAAAGACCCCACCAGGGGTATTACATAAGGGGTGGGTTACAATATATGCAACAAGTTGAACACTTTTTTATATGGTATATTGGGACGTGATCACTTCAATGAAGACAGTAGTGCATGAGTTAGCGATTTCTTGTGCAAGGTCGTTCCAGTCCTTGGCTACTCGAGGAAAAAAAGAAAATGCAAAGGTGACTGTGGGAGCATAAGGACGGGCAACGTTATCTCGGAAATATTGTACGTTTCACTCTTTTCAATGCAAAAAATCAACCCAATTTTTTTCGAACACATTTGAGAAGGTCGCCAAATTGACTGAAATGTTCGGCGTGGAATGACCCAATTATCAGCTGGCATTCTATCATATTGGCCCAATGCAGTGAAGCCACTTATGCCCAAGCCTAGTAGTTGTAGCTGTAGGCGCATAAAGACACAGTTGGGACGTTCTTTCAGCAGTGCTGGCCGACAAACATTCTACGAACGCTACAATCCGGCGCTCAATCCGTATTACAATGCCGCAAAACCGTGATTTTGTTACCACTAGAAGTTATTCCATTAAAGTTACACTATTCATTCCATTAACGTTACACTACACACTACAAGTTACACTGTTTCATTGATGTTACACTATATATCGTTACACGTTTCATTAACGTTATAGAGGTCTATCGTTATAATAAAGTTATATGGCTTCGCGGCATCAATGGTGATATGCAGGCGCGAGATCGTACTCCGGCTAGACCCCATTTACGCCTCATCGGCACAAAAGTTGCATGCACTGGGAACTCCACTTGAGTAGCCGAGCGTTCACAGTCTCTTTCGCTCTGTCTTCAAGGAAAGAGTAAGTTCTGCGGCTAATTCTGCCTGCGGCTAGTTCTGCACTACTCCCGCACGTAATGTAAGAACTGTGGGGAGAGTAAGGCAGTTTCTATGCTCTTGCAGTACTACCTTTGGTTCTGTACGTGTGGAGCGGAAGTTCAAGGCTCTCCCCTCCTCGTTATATAGCATGTTCCAGTGGTGTTTCGCACTGCTGCTGTGCTCTAGTCACAACAGTACTCGGCTGGTGACCCACAGGTGGCGAGATCGAATCCCGCCTGCTACCGCTGCATTTTCGATGGAAGCGAAAATGCTGTAGGCATTTTTGGGTGCACGTTAAGATTTGGCAGCACGTTAAAGAAGCCCAGGTGGACGAAATTTCCGAAGCCCTCCACTACGGCCTCTCTCATATTCTTGTGGTGGTTTTGAGACGTTAAACCCCACAAATAAATCATCCAGTTGTGTTCATTTTTTTCATTTTTCACGTTATGAGCAATGTATACATTTGCCTTTATACAACGTGTTGCGTGGGTACGATTGTACGAGTAGTGTCACTCCGAGATCAGTGAGTAGCAAGTTTCGTAAAAGGTTTTTTATCACTCAATGGAATCAATTTTCTTGAGTGTACAAATGTGATTTATTTGTGTTCTTTCATATATCCATGCAAGAAAATTTTTATTGTTCTAACGTTGAGATGTTGGTCACTTGATTTTATTTTGCATAATACCAAGATCTCTAACAGCGGTGGCACAGTCGGGCATTTCTCGCAAGGAAGGATGGAAAATGATTCGAAGAAAGACGTAACAGCCATCGGTAAACCCAGGATCGTCAAGTAAGACAACGAGCGTATGAAAACACTAGTGTTGTAATGCTCATGTTGTATTTTTGTGAACATGATTCAATGTTTAAAAATATGTCTATTCATTGCGACAGTCTCTAAGTGAAGATGTTTACATGAAGGAGAAATACAGGATTTTCTGCTTCGTAGCCAAAAAAAAAAAAACATGCACGGCTTGCTAGACCACAGCAGCGCAAATCAGCTTTCAGCACGCGCCAAATGTTACAGATAGCTTTAGGTGCGGTCAAATAAATTGTTACATGATTGTAGCTTTCTGCAGCTACGCCGGAGTGGATAACTTAGTGTTGTCACAGTCTTACTAATAAGATTGCTGTTGTCTTCGTATCAGGGTGCTCCATCACGGTGGTCTAGTGGATAAGGTACTCGGCTTCTGACCCGCAGGTCGCGGGATCGAATCCCGGCTGCGGTGGCTACATTTTCGATGGAGGTGAAAAGTATGTGAGACCATGTGCTCAGATTTGGGTGCACGTTAAAGAACCCCAGGTGGTCGAAATTTCCGGAGCCTTCCACTACGGCCTCTGTCATAATCATATGGTGGTTTCTAGACGTTAAAACCCACATATCCATCAATCAATCGTATCAGGGCTTTCATAAATGACTGCACATCACGCAGCTGTCTACGGTTGTCTTGAACGAACCCAATGGTCTATTCACAGACACTCTGAAGACTACTAACGGTCTTTCAAAAAGAGCTTTCTCCAAAAGATTTTGCATACCACAAATTTCCTTTGCTTCAGATTTCTCAAACACATACTTTGGTTAAGACTTGGCGTAACGTGATGGAGTGTTCACCACTATAAACAATACCGCTTTTGATCCTAGGCCATGTAGCCATGAGTACTTTTCATTGCTAAAGAAGTCAAGAAAGTACGTTGTGTTCAAGTTCAATGTTATTTTCGGTGATAGTACTGAGCATTTCATAGCAAGTAAATAGGCGTCGGAGACATTACTTAAGTTCAGCAAAAGGGAATAAATAATAAGCTAGGACAGGCGGAAGCCGCACTGTTAATGAGATCTGTAGCAAATGGGCAGTCGTTGGGTGCATCAGCGTGGTCGCTTTTTTAATAGTGGAAGACAAAGGCACGGACAGCACAAGTTACACTTCAGGGAAGCTTACTTCAAGCTAACATATATTCAGAAGCACTCACGCAATATGTACTCTTGCAATCGCAGTTACCTCACACGATAGTTTTCTAAAACACAAAGAAATATACCAAAATACGTGGTTGATCCCTCCATCACCGCAATCGGTATAACATGAAATACGTATACTTAAAAAGAGTTGAATATTTACTGTAAAATGACATGAGAGAGCTGCGCACTGTCTTTTGTGTTCAGTGTGGATGCACCAAGGTGAATGCTTGGTGGCTCATACTGATACTGACGATCGACGTCCATAATCAATGATTAAGCGAATCTTTGTGGTAGGCGTAGTTGTTAAGCAGGTGAATGCGTAATTGAAATAGGTGGTAAACAAGCCAGAAAAGCATCGCTCACTATGCGCAGAACTTTAGTTAATGTCTTCATCTCGCGGCATGTTAGGCACCACAGGAAAACTAAAGACTCAACGCGCATCGTGCTTACCCGTCACCCGGCCACAATCTTTCTAGAAGCAATCTTGAGCGCTGTTTCGGCAGTGTTGTTGCAGCCAGGTGAGGCAAGCGCTCGTCGCTGAGCCAATCGCAGAGGCGACAATTGTCATTTATTGATTCATTTCACAGCTTCCTAAAGGCAACAACACCGCCGCAAACACTGTGCACTGCGAGAATGAGCGTGCGGGACCACGTCGCCCAGCGGCGCGTGCTCGATTATCCGAGCGCACTTTGCCCGTTTAGAGGAGGGGAGCGATGCTACCTCACGCGCCCTTATCGCGATGTGGGAAGGAGAAAAGATTGTGCGTCTTGGCTAGCCTCGGGCTTCACTTGGAACGATTCTGAGGTAGTGACCAGGCACACAAAGGTCGCTGCAATCATCTTTGCAAAAAGCTCGCGCTTTTCAGAGACAGCAAAGTAACAAATGAGACGCTTATTCGTGTGCATCTGTAACTGTGAGTACGTTTTCTGCGTCATTTGTGCGTGAGAAACGCGGCACATGTTTCGATCTGCTTTCCATTGTGCGCCTCAGTGTGTTGATATCGCGTCCATTCCTTTGCCTTTGCGGCAAAGCTGTGACTTTTTTCATGTCGTTTTCTTTTGAGGAAGCTTTCGAGGAGGCACCCTCTTGTACGATAAAACACTCCTAATGAAATATATATAATATATTATGAAGTCTTGGTCTGGATTACCTTGTATTAGGCCCGAGGAACCGGCAGCCGACAGCTACGATGATTGAGCCAAGATGATGATGCACCGCGACAACGATGAGGATGCATGAGCCACACATGATAATGATGATAATGTACCGGTGAACAGGATGCGTATACTAAATGCCCACATCAATTCCCCCCACGTGAAAGCGGCCCGCCTGGCCGCGGCAAGTCAAGGGGACAAAGAACGTCGCATGAAGGGCTTCATACGGAAGACATGGACGACCTCTGTAGTTCGATAACGGCGATCTGCTGGGGCTACAAGTGGCGTCAGGCGATAATTCACCGGTGAAGTCTCTTCAAGAACTGTGTACGGCCCAAGAAACCGAGGCTGAAATTTGTCGCACAAACCTGGTGTGCGAACAGGCGTCAAAAGGAGCACTTCGTCTCCAGGTTGGAAGGATACATCACGATGCGATTCATCATAAACTAGCTTTCTGTCTTGCTGGCGGGCTTCAGTGTTTATACGAGCTCGTTGGCGGCACTGTGCGAGTCGTGAAACGTATTCCTCTGAAGAGGATGGAGATGAGTTCGCTTGGCAGGTAAAGAAGGAGACGTCCAGGAAAGAAGTAGGGGAGCGTCCATAAACTAGGTAAAATGGCGAGTAGCCGGTTGTTCGCTGAATGGCCATATTGTAGGCGAAAGTGACGAATGGTAGAACAACGTCCCAGTTTTTGTGGTCTGGTGGAATATAGGCGGCGATCATGTCAGCAAGAGTGCGGTGGAATCGCTCAGTGAGGCCGTTAGTCTGGGGATGATAACTGGAGGCAGCCTTGTGAGTTGTGCCGGAGGCCTGGAGAAGTTCGTTCACTAGTTGTGAAAGAAAGGCCCTTCCACGGTCACTGAGCAAGACACGTGGAGCACCATGACGCAGTATAATGGCTCGGAGGATGAAATCGGCAATCTCAGAAGCTGAACCTGTAGTAACGGATGCCGTCTCGGCGTAGCGCGTCAAATGGTCAATGGCTGTTACTATCCACCGGTTTCCAGCAGCACTGACTGGGAGGGGGCCATAAAGATCGACGCCTACAACTTCGAATGGTGTGGCTGGGCATGGAAGAGGCTGTAGTGTACCGGCTGGAACAGATGTTGGTAGTTTTTTACATTGGCAGGTAGTGCAGGACCCGACGTACCGAGCTACACTAGTTGTAATGCCTGGCCAATAAAACCGACTTCGAAGGCGATCGTAGGTTTTATGGTAACCAAGGTGACCAGCAGTCGGATGATCATGAAGTGCCCTGAGGACTTCAGACCGAAGCGATCGGGGTAGAACGGGAACCCAGTGCTGACCGTCAGGATGGTAAATTTTGCGGTACAGCACCGAGTTGTCCAGCTTAAATTGCAAGAGTTGGCGACGGAGCCTTGCATTAGGTGGACGGGAACTGCCAGTGAGGTAGTCTATAATACGTCGACAGTATGGGTCAGCCAACTGTCGAGAAGGAAAATTGTGCGGGTCGTCCGAAGGCAGCTGGTCCATAGAGGCGAGAGAGGAAATCGCCGTAGACGTGGATTCCGAGGGCGTGTTGTGCGAATTGATGGCGGAAACCCCGAGTGAAGTCGCTGGTAGCGGGCAGCAAGAAAGAGCATCGGCGTCACTATGCTTTCTGCCACACTTGTACACGATCTCAAAATCATATTCTTGGAGGCGTAGAATCCAGCGTCCGAGGCGTCCCGACAAGTTCTTGAGTGTCGAAAGCCAACATAAAGCATGGTGGTTGATCACAATGGTGAAATGGCGGCCATGCAGATATGGACGAAATTTCTGTACTGACCAAACGATGGCGAGGCACTCCTGCTCGGTGATCGTGTAGTTCCTCTCGGCTGCGGAGAGGACGCGGCTGGCGTATGCAACGACTCGCTCTCGCGAAGAGTTGTCGCGTTGCAGGAGCACGGCTCCTAAACCGCGGCCGCTAGCGTCTGTGTGCAGGAAGGTCGGTGCATCATCGTAAAAATGAGCAAGTACAGGGTCGGTCGTGAGGGCACTCTTCAACCTGTCGAAAGCCGATTCACATTCTTGAGACCACTGAAAGGGCATACCGGAAGCAAGTAGCTTATGAAGTGGTGCGGCTATGGAGGCAAAGGTTTGTATGGATCGCCGAAAGTAAGAGGCGAGACCAAGGAAACTTCGCAAATCTTTTGGTTTGTCAGGGCGAGGGAAGCGAAGCACTGCAGCAGTTTTATCAGGGTCTGGGCGAATTCCGTCCTTGCTCACAATATGACCGAGTACCTTGATAGATCTGCTGGCGAAATGGCACTTTTTGGTGTTAATTTGAAGACCAGCACCCGCAAGACAAGTCAGGACCTCGTCCAAGCGTTGCAGATGTTGAGGAAACGTCGATGAAAAGACAACAATGTCATCGAGGTAACATAGGCAAGTCTTCCATTTTAGGCCACGCAGCACGGTGTCAATCATGCGCTCAAAAGTTGCGGGCGCATTGCATAGACCGAATGGCATAACATTGAATTTGTATAGGCCGTCCGGGGTTGAAAACGCAGTTTTTTCTTTATCATCTTCATGCATGAGGATTTGCCAATAGCCGGAACGCAAGTCGAGGCTCGAAAAGTATTCAGCACCCTGTAAGGAATCTAGGGCGTCGTCGATGCGTGGCATGGGGTATACGTCTTTTCTAGTGATCTTATTGAGTGCTCGGTAATCGACAGAAAATCG